ATAGAATAGAATAGAATAGAATAGAATAGAATAGAATAGAATAGAATTCTTTATTGGCCAAGTGTGATTGGACACACAAGGAACTTGTCTTGGTGCAAATGCTCTCAGTATACATAAAAGAATAGATACATTCGTCAAGAGTCAAGAATTGTAAGGTACTTTGTAAATAGTTGGACAGTGTTGAGGGAATGATTTGTTTAGCAGAGTGATGGCATTCGGGGGAAAAATGTCCTTGTGTCTAGTTGTTCTGGTGTACAGTGCTCTATAACATCATTTGAGGGAAGAAGTTGAAACAGTTTATGTCTGGGATGTGAGGGGTCTGTAAATATTTTCACAGCCCTCTTTTTGAATCGAGCATTATACAGGTCCTCGATTGAAGGCAGGTTGTAGTAATTGTTTTTTTCTGCAGTCCTAATTATCCTCTGAAGTCTGTGTCTGTCTTGTTGGGTTGCAGAACCAAACCAGACAGTTAAAGAGGTACAGATGACAGACTCAATAAAGCTTCCAGAGCAGAAAATAACAAGCAACAAACACTGTGAAAACCAATATCCCGCTAGGTCAGTGGGAAAACCAAACTTCCACTAGGTCAGTGGGAGGCGGCCCAATTTTATTTTTACAAAGCCCTTTACAAAGCCCTATATCAGTCAAGGCAGTTGCTTTTTCTAACAAATCCTGTTGCTGGTAGAGGGTTTCTTTTCTCAATGCATAAGCCTAGGGTTGGTTCTGGCTACTGCATGTGTCAGCTTGACTTTTGTTCTTCAGAAGTGGGGACCCCAGTTGAAGTATAATTGGACCAAAGTGCCCCTTTTAAATTTTGCACAGCTTTATATCCCATTTATTGTGGGAGCTTCATTTATGGAGAATACTTACTTCATGTTTTCAACTAGAAGGCAAGCAGTTGGAAGGGAAGGAAACTGATTGAAGAGATGGAGGATAGAAGGGAACATTTCTGCTTTGACTTGCCTGCCAGTTATTCCCTGCAAACATTTCACCAACCTAGCTGGCCCAGAAGAGACAGCAATGGCAGAAGGAAACTGAATGGTGGCGGTATATGTCAGTACTGGTTCACAGTTTTCAGTCCATCACTTGAAGGGCTCCTTTCACTCCTAACTTTTCATTGGTTAGGACTAAGCCATATGCTTGCTGAGACAACAGTCAATTGGAAAAACAAAGCCTTAGTGCAGGGCTGTTAAACTCCCAGCCCGCGAGCTGGATGTGTCACGCACTGGCCATGCTCACGTCCGGTTTAGCGAAGGGGAAAAAAGTCATGTGATGACGACATGAGTTTGACACCCCTGCCTTAGTGAGATCTAGCGACAATGGGAGTGGTTCTGGAAAGGTTAAATGAAAAAGAAATACACATACGGAATTATTTCAGGAAAAAAAGCCATGTTTCTTTTTCTTTTCCAATGAACTTGATGGCTTTATTCTTCTCCCTAGCTGTTTCTGCAGCTGTGGTTCTGGCTACAAAAGCCAGGATACTAATATAGCCTTCAGTAAACTCAACTCCCCCTTTTAGTGACTCATCCACTTCTGGCAAGCTATGCTGCTGTGCATAGCCCTCTAAAACACAGCTATCATAACTTGCCTGTAGGTCCAGATTACCTTTGCTTGACATCCCTTACTTAGTTTCTTACTCCAAAGCAGCCATTCCAAACCAGATGTTCTTCAGATGTTTTGGATTACAACTTCCCTAGCTAAAGACAACAGTGTTAATGGTCAAGGTTGATGGGAGTGGTAGATCCCCAACAGGGGTGGGATTAAAAACTTTTAACAACTGGTTCTGTAGGTGTGGCTTAGTTGGTGGGCGTGGTTTGGTGGTCATGTTATTGGCTGGGCGTGGCCCACTCAATATCACTCACATTGAGGCACACATCTCCTCGCCTGGCCTCTTATGACTGTGGGGATGCTGCAACAGTTGTAAGTGTGAAAAATGGTCATAAGTCACTTTTTTCAGTGCCATTGTAACTTTGAATGGTCACTCCACACAAGCAAAGTACCAGCAAAGGAGGGGGAAAAAAACTCCAGAGAAGTTCCTGAAACAGGAAGTCTAGTCCTGCCAAGAATGTAATAAGGGTTAATGGAGAGGCAGTTTCTGTAAGCAGAATGTTTCCTTCCTGCCTTCCTTACAGGATTAGGCCAGTAATTTCTTCTAACAACTGGTTCTCCGAACTGCTTAGAATGTTAACAACCGGTTCTAGCAAATAGGTGCGAACTGGTAGAATCCCACCCCTGATCCCCAAATCCGGCAGACATGGAGCTGTGGGAGACTGTACTGATGTCCATGTTTAGAAGTTAGTCACTTCTGAGTATTGTAACTAATGTTTTGGACACAAGTAAGGGAGTGTATATTATAACCATTCCCATGGTTTCCTGAGCACCTGGCTGATGACATTAAGGAGGGAAAATGCTTCACTAAATTTCTATTTAGACTTAAAATTTTAATAAAAATCCTCTTTAGAACAGATTCTAAATCTCTTCCAAATTTAGACATCTCTTCATGGTTTTGCTCACATGAAATGGCAGTTTCAATTCCTTTTTCCAAAAGGAAAAAGGCCTCTCCCAACAGATTTCAAATTAATTTGCATTCTTTGGTAGGAGAAAAGTAGATCTTTTGAGTAATTTTCCAATTTTGCTTCTCTCAATCCAACCTACCTCACAAGAGTGCTGGGAGAATTAAATACAGTGAGGGAAGTGTTCTGTGTGCTGCCTCCTAAATCAAATAAATAAATCATTAAAAGTGTCTTTCTAATTGCAAAATTTAATTCTCTCATGGATATTGATAAGAATATCAAGGGATGCTGAGACATCCCTTTGATATCCCAAAGAACTTATTTGCTTTACCTTGTCAGAAAAGAAGGGTCACTCTTTATTTCTTCCAACATCAGAAAAATCAGTGTTTTAAAATCCTATTGATTAAACTGGTGGTGGTGGTGATTTTTTTCTTTTAAAAAATCCATACTATTCAACTGCCTGGAAGAAATTGGTACATATAATAAAATGTGGCAAACTGTTTTTAAGACTCTCCTGTCTAATTGAATTAGAAAAAAAGAGGTAGGTAATATTTTATTGCCCACGAGACACATTTGTGAGTCATAACTGCAATGTTAACTTTTTTTTCCTAACAAAAAAGACTGCCATTGATTCCCCCCCCCCCATTGAACAGAAAGAAAATAGGGGATGTTACTTCTAGAAAGGCCTCTCTAGCCCTCATCCCAACTTCTCTATCATTCTATCTAGACTGTTTTTGCCTTGCTTTCTGGACAGGTAGACGTTGTTTCAAGTTACACCCCACAGAGTGAACATTTGGTGGTTTAATCTTCTACAAACCCCAAGGATGTTTCTGTGGGGTTCTGAGGTTTGCCTAGGCACAAAGAATCAGGAACATATGTTAAGGTCCAGTCAAGAAGATTTATTGCTGAAGCCTATGCACAAGAATCTAGTCAATTAATGCTCAGTGCTAAATTGACAGTACATAAGGGCCAATGGAATTCAAGAGGGATTGTACTTAGACTGTTTGTGGGAATGTAATAACTCCAGAGTGATACTTGGTTAACTTTGGAACCTGGGTCTTCCCGTTTTTCTCCTATTTTTGCTTAAATACAGGCGATGCTGCGTATTGGTATTTAATCTTTGTAGGATGCCAGTTTCTTATTTATTTATTTTTAATTAAAAGAATCTTTTAAAACGTATGCTAGGGAGTCAAATGAGGGCTAAGACTTGAATTATTCTTTAGCTAGGTCATCTTGAGCACTTGAGAAGAAAATAACCATTTACTGATTCACTTTCATTTCTCCCTTTGTTTTCCTCCACCATCGTACAAGTGTATTTATATTTAGAAATATAACATTTGAACGGCATCCTTAATAAAACTGGGTTCAGGTTAGAGGGGGCCCAGTCCTTCTGCTCCATAGGGACAAGGAAACTTCAGTGTTAAAAAGGAAAGGAAATCAGATGAAGAATAAAGCAATGCTCCCTTCCATTGCCTTTTAATCCATACTGGGATCTCCCTTTTAGTTAACAGTGTTCTAGAGGCTTGTACATCTCTGTATTGAATTGTAATGGATCATGAGTTTGGAATGCAGTCTGTATATTTTGAAGCCCTGTTGCTGGACTCTGGCCAGTTGCATTTAAGCGCTTCTTTCCTCTCTTCCTTTATTAATGAATGGAAGAGAAGAGTCATTCTTTATCTTCCTCCCTCCCATCATCTCCCTCTCCCTCCCTCTCTTTCTCTCTCTCTCTCTCTCTCTCTCCCTCCCACCCTCTCTCCCTCCCCCTCTCTCTCTCACACACACATACACACACACACACACACAATAATAAAACATGCATTTCAGATCTAGTGTGCTCCTGCAAATGTATCAAGTGCTTTGCTTGCTTCAATTTGAATTCTCTATGTGAATTAGTATTTAGTGGTGGGAAATATTCTGGGGACCTTGCTAGGGAGTACACAGAAATCAGGCTGTTTGTTGGTAAGTTTTAAGGTCAGAATTTGGACCAGTTTGTTATTTCAGAGCAAACTTTTCATCCTGAGGCAAATTTTAAAATGAGCTAGTGTCTTTTTGCACTCTCGATCCAGTTCTTGCTGATATTATTCAAATATCAATCTCGAAAGTACTTTCCCCAATACAATTATTTCACTTCCATGCCAAGCTTTATTGCCATCAATCTGTTTTATATCACACAGTTCCCACAGCCCCTTTAGTCTTTGTTCTTGGCTCTTCCTATGCATTTGAGCAAGTCCAGCTTCTAAGAGGTTGTTCTGCAGTGAACCATCCCTGCTGTTAGAAATCCAGCCTCAAAGTTTGTGACATCTTTGTCTTCTGGAACCTTCTATCTGAGATTTAGTTCACACACTAAATCATGGTTTGTTTAACCAAGAGATGCCGAATATATTACACTTAACTGATTTAAATGTTATACAACACTGTAAGCCATGTTTTACAGATCAAAGGGTCTCACAAAACATGCTAGAAAATAAATGGGTTTCACCATGCCTTTCCCTTGCTTTTAATTCTGAACGATATGTAGAAGTGACAATGCATCAGGTTTCCTGGATTCATTAATTGCCTCTTCTTTGGTCCCAGTACCATTGTGAGGGGATAGAAATGGGTCAGAATGGAGGATGGTCTTTCTTCTGAATCTTCGCATTTTCCTTGTGTTTCAGGTGACTGTAGAGGAGGGAAAATGGTGGAACATGTGTGATGTTGTCATGCCAGGGGTATCAAACTTGTGGCATCACATTTTCATCATGTGACACATTGCAACTTCCCCCCATTTGCTAAACCAGGGATGGGCATGGCCAGCACATGACACATCTGACCCACGGGCTGCAAGTTTGACACCCCTATGTCATGCAAATGCCAATTCATATGTACCTGTATCAGATGTTGGGATGCAAGTATAATTGCTGTATTTGTGATGATGTCATCACACTTGTTTTCTTTTTGGTGTCCTTCCTAAGATTCCTCCATAGATACCTCCCTAAATCCCAATGTTTCTAAAAGAAACCAAGTTGTGATAGTGATAGAATGATAGTGGCAATAATAAAGCAGGTGTCCTAGTATGATGTGTGGACTTAGTTTATGCAATAGATCAGGGGTCTCCAACCTTGGCAACTTTAAGACTTGTGGACTTCAACTCCCAGAGTTCCTCAGCCAACTTTGCTGGCTGAGGAACTCTGGGAGTTGAAGTCCACAAATCTTAAAGTTGCCAAGGTTGGACACCCCTGCAATAGATCACCAACATACATTTTGGGACTAAAGAATAAAATCAATCTAGGAAGAACAATATTTTGGAAGAGAGCAAGGGAGAAGAATTGATGAAGGCATGTGGCAGCTCTGCCCCTTGTGTATTTGCAGACAACATTGTAATTCAAGAACAACATGGCAGTGCTTGTCATGATGCCTCCATACACATTTGAGCATCACTCTGGTTAGGAACAGAAATCTATACTTTGCACATAAACCAACCCAATGTTCATAAGTTCTGTATGAACCTGGTAGTGTTCAACATCCTTTTTTTCCTCATCTTTCAGAATTGATGGGAAGCCTCCTGGAACCTTAGAACTGGAAGAAGATGAGGGCTTTAGTGACTGGTCCCAGAAACTTGAACAGCTCAAGCAGCGATCGGGAGGAGAGGGAGTGCAAGAAAGAGACCAAATTCTCCAAGGGGAATGCAGAGAAACCCAAGAATCAGACCCTATACAGTGTGAAGAAAGGTAGGGAATCTTTTTTTACTGCTTGAAAGGAAGTAGTAACTAAACAAGACTCAATCAGAAAAGCTGGAAAAAACATAGCAGATACCTTGAACTTTGAAGTAAGACCCGCTGAATTTGCTCCAGATATGGCATGACTGAATGTAAATCCAAACATATAACATACAGCAAGCCAGGCAGATTTCTATTTGACATTCATGTTAGCTTGGTCAAATAAGAGTCTAGCTTGACTAACTGCCATGCCATGGCTGTAGTCACATGTCAATCTTAAGTTGGTTAATTTTCATATGGTTAATCAATTAAACCCACTTTGCTGGTTTTATACTTCATGTTTAACCATAACCTAAATACCTTGATTTGTGGTATTTGTCTAGTATATTGTGGAGATACATTATTAGACAACAGTATGGTGGCTAACTTGTAGTTTGGTATGTTCTCGAAACATAGCCAAAGAAATTGCCTGGAACAATGAACTGGCCTGATTGCTTCTGTGTTATTATCAAAGTTATGTAATATCAAATTTATTTGTCCCCCATCTCACAGTTTGAAGCAACTCTGAGCAGCATATTGTAACAATTGGTTTGTTTTTCTTAAGTGGTTCTTAACTGAAGCCCTGTACCTTTAAAAATTTCATAACTAGGCAGAACACTAATCAAATTGTAATTAAAGATTTAAGTTACCTGGGGATCTTTCTTTCCCATAGAGCATTTGCCAGGGAAGAAGGTAGGCTAAATGGACCTTATATGACTATATTTGTTCTTATACCAGCATTAAATTACCAGCTTCATAAACAAGAAAAATCTCCATATATTACTAAAGTCAGCTTCTACTAACCTTAGCCAAATAGTTGCCTTAAAAATTCCAGGTCTCTAAAAAGTTACTTCCTTTACTATGTAAGTCATTTTTTTCCAAAATTATTGCCTCTACTTAACTACTAAATGTACAAAAACTTACCTTCTTTTGCTTTAGGGTCAACCTAAGTGCTTCTCAGCAATTAGGCAAGGAGCTTTTGGAATAGCCAAAAAAAAAAAAAAAGTCTTAGCCCTTGTAATCTGCAAACTTTGTCTTGGTATGTTGTGTGAATGTAGTCAATTGTAGTTTCTTCCATAACCCCTGGTTCACCATAAAATGCACTTTGACTGTTAGTGCTTCTCAAATGATTATCTGTGGAACTAATTTGTAGCATGTATATTTGTGAATGTACTTGCTTGACTTTGCAGGCATTAATTTTGCCATGCCATCTTTTTGTTAAAAAAAAAAAAAAAAGTCTCATACAAATGTGTTTGAACTGGTAAATTATTTCAACTGATAGAAAAAATATATATAGAACATCTGCCACAACTCAGAGCAAAGGAGGGGAAAGGGTGTTACCAACTTTAACTGAAGGAAATACATTTAGGAAGGATAAACCTTAAATTTTCTACTTTGTGGACTCAACTGAAATGGAAGTGGATTTGGAGCAGTGTGTTTTCTAAATTGTAATTATATTTCAAGGCCTTTAGTAAGGTACCTTCAGTTTTATCACCCTATTTCCCAATCTCGGGGTTTTATTTTCAGAGTTTCTGAAAAAATGTTCTGTAGTTTCAAATGTCAGGAGGTTTAAATCTCTAATGTTGGCATATGGCTTGGAAGATTTTTCCTTTGGAAAACTTAATTCATTATGCTTAAGTTTATTTTGGGGTCCCTCCTCCTCCATTTCCTCCCTCTATAATGGTTAGCTCTTTCAGGTCCAGAAAGATTTATTGTGAAATTGAGTACATTAAGCAAAATTTCTCCTACGCACAATATAAGTGCAAACTCAATCATCTGTTCCTCCAAACTTCTCTGCTTAGCTCATTTTCTCCAGCAAGGACAGAACTGCACAAACCCCAATATCCTTTTTTCTTTGTGTTGCAGACACTGATTTTATTTTTAGATTTCTTTTCAAAATCTTCAATTTTACTTTAGTGAAACTGCAAGCAATCATTTTTAGAGAGGTTAGCGCATTTGCACTAACCTAAGAATACCACACACACAAAAGAGTGCTGAGAAAAAGGAGGAGGAAAGATTCAGGAAGCAATTATTTGAAGCAGCTGTTAGAGTTGTTTGGATAAGGGTGAGGAGAGAATTAAAAGAAGCTGTTTGCTTCTGCTCAGGAAGACAGAGCAGAATCTGATAAGTTTTTAAGTTTGAAGATGGATGCCCCTTGAAGAAATTCTTTTAATGAAATAAAGCAATGCCTCTGAAATTAAAATTCTTGTGGAGAGTTGGAGAACGATGTTGGGCAAACAGTATCCCATTCCACTCTGTTCCCAATATGGTATTTGTGAGGGTGACTATGTCCTTTTTCATTACAAAATAAAATGTTACACAGCAAAATATTTCCATGAATTTTGGAACTAAGAAACTTTCTTAAAGATGATAGACTTCAGTCCTTTACTTGGTTTGGATTGGTTTGGGTCTGTGTACCCTTCACTTTAGAAATTTGAATGTCCTTTTCACTACCTTGGCAAATGAAATCAGCTTTTCAAATTGTATTGTTGAATTGGGTGAATGAAAATATATTTAAAGGAACGATTTGGAATCAATTATAGATGTTCTTTTCACAGAGTAAGTGTGATATAGTGGTTAAGGCACCAGGCTAGAAACTTGGAGACTGTGAGTTCAAAGTCAGCTGGTTGATCTTGAGCTATTCACATACTCTCTCAGCCAGAGGAAGCAAGCAATGGCAAATCACTTCTGAAAAGTTTGCCAAGAAAACTGCAGGGGCCTAGATAGGCAGTCACCGGGGGTCAATGCTAACTCAAAGGCACCAAAGGGGGAAAATATTGTAATGTCAATGACTCAAAACAGACCAGGTGCCTCATAAATATAGTGACATAGTTTGTCTTTTTTCTCAGTAGAATTTTTTATTAAGAGATCTGTGACTGGATATAATGGTCTTCTTCAGACTACACTTTGTAGGTTGTAAATAGTCCCCCCCCCTTTTTTTTTGTTGTTAACCCAGTCCATAATTCATGTGGGTTTTGCTTTTGGTCTAAGTGAAAGATAGTCAAAACTAACTAACATCTAAGATATAACTAGCATTCAATAGAATAATTTGCCAGGTGTATTTTTTTTTTTGCATGTTCTCTTGCAGTAATATGCTACTCTTCAAAATAGTTCAAAGGAACTATATAAATATAGTGTAACTTTTTGTACTGCCTACATGCATGCCCAGATGTTCCTGTATGGGTATTTTAAGTCAGATGCAGGTTAAGTCAACTTCTATTTAGTTTTTACATGCAAAAGTAATTATATAAGCAAGCTCCAAGCAATTGGACTTAGGTTTTGGAAATGGAAATAGGAAATGATTTGAGGGACAAATTATATGTGATGTTTGACATTTTCCTTGATAAATTATAGCACTATTCCATGAGGCTCACTTTACCTCTAGATGTCTTAAATGAGCTTGAACTCTTATGTTACAAAGTAGAAAACTGGTAGTGAATTTTCTATTGTAATGAACAGCTTATGCCTTCTGTGCCCTTGAAAATAATAAAGTAGGATTTGGAGTGCATTGTGCAGGCCACATGTGTATTAGCTGAATCTATTCTGGTTCATAAACTTCTAATTATTTTAAATGCATTAGTACAGACTTCGAGGAGAAGCTTGTGTGACTTTCAAGTATAGCTTATCTTTCAGAACTGCAGTAGTTTGGAGTGGAACAAGTAAGCTTGCTATTAATATTGGCTGATGCGGAGCTAATTGCTATAAAGTGGTACAGAACTACTGTGTAAAATGTCTTTGAATAAGACTATTTCAGTTACTCAAATAATATTGTAAACCAGGTTTGTATTAAATGCTAGGTTTATACCTAGGTCTGAAATATTTTGGAGTAGCAATTATAACCTCCTTATCTATCGAAGAGGGAAATTCATGCTTGTTTTACAATAGTACAACTTTTTTTTCATTAAATTTTATTTAGTTTTCAAAATTTAAAAGCATAAAATAAAACTTTACACATCATTATATCAACATCATTTACATTTCCTTATCTTTATACACATTCCTTTCATTATACAATTTCATATATATATATATATATATATATATATATATATATATATATATGAATATAGATATATATATATATGAATATAGATATATGTATTTATATAGTTTCTTATTCTTTAGCTAATTGTCATTTTGATTTCTTTTTTTATTCTTAAACCATTCCTACCAGGCATCCCAGACATTATAATATATTGACTCTTCTTTATCTCTTAATTTCATTGTTAGTCTGTCCATCTCTGCACAGTCTAAATTTTTTTTAAATAACATCTTTTGATGGTACATTTTCCTGCTTCCAAAATTATGCATAGGAAATCCTAGCAGCTGTTAAGATATGTAGCATAATGTATTTATTTATTTTATTATATTTTTCTGTTATTATGCCTAATAGAAATAATTGTGGTTTGGGTTCAATTTTCTGTTTTGTTATTTCTTCTAGCCATAATCGAATTATATTCCAATATTTCTTGACCTCTGGGCAGGTCCACCACATATGAAAATATGTACCTTTTTCCTTATAGTACAACTTTCTTATTAATGCATGAATGTAGATTTAAATCAGAAGACAAATGTGGAGTTTTGTCCAAGCTAGCATGGGGTAAGGTGGGGCATTAAATTATGTTCATGTTTTTAGACTTACATTTTTAAGAGTTCTTAAACCAGAGCCCATTTGCAGTGAGATGGTGTTTTCTTTCCTAATGCTTTGCATAGAATGGGCTTTTAGAGGGAGCTTTCATTTTAAACACGGAACGTGGCCTTTCTCCAGTGAAGTACGATCCAAGGGCCACATGATAGCTTGGTTTCATTGAGTGGGTATTGATTTATTCTTCAGAAAGTCTAGAATGTGACTGGATGATTCTAACGGTAATTGGAAGCAAGCTTGAGATTCTCAGCAGTAAATTTCTGCTTATGCTGATCTCCATCTTAAACCAGGGTGCTTTTTTCTTCCTTTGGCTGAAGGCTCCACTCTGCCTTTGAGCGGTATGCTGCAGGCTACTCTTCCCCAAAGCAGTGAGTTGGAATTGGCTTAAAAGCAAAGTGCTAATTATCATGGTAATCAACATTAATTATAATGAATAGGTTCCAGTCATGTTTTAATGTTTCCTTTCTACCATATTAATTATTATAATTGAATTATGCTTTTTAGAGGGCACAGTAAAGCCAGTGAATGTAAATTCCCCATTGGAAACAAATTTGTAACATTTATATTTTTGAGCAGTGAAGAAAGGCATTTGGATACTCTCCTTTGGATGCCCAGGTGATTATGTTATACCTGGGAACTAGAGTCTATTACCTGCAGGATGCTACTGCTCCACATAAATATTTCCAAAATCCTTTTTCACTATATATGAATAATTGCCTTGGCTCTAAAGGGAATATTATAATATTCGGTCTTCACAGATATCTATCACTTGACCAAGAAATTGCTTTCCTTAAGATCAAACTGGCAGAAATTATTATCTTTTAAATTAGTAGAGTAAGCTTGTTTGTGACCTTAAAAATATTAAAAATGGCGCTTCCTTCTTAAAAAGAAAAGGTCACTTGTCCTTTCTTCTCTTATTTTTTTTTCCCACTTGCCAATTCTCAGTCCTAGGTCACCAAGGTGCTCCTACGAGGAAGAAGACGGCAATCTGAAGGAAGCAGAAGTAATGCTGGATCAGGTCAATCTGGATCAGGAGACTCCCACCTTCATCCGATTTGAAACCGGACCATCCAATTTCCTCAAGTTTGTTTCTACTTCAACTTCAGAAGATCAGCCTGAAGCAGAGCTGGAGCAGCAGCAACAGCTTAGGGAAACCTTGGAGTTTGGAGAAGAGAACCAGCATGCTGAGGACATGCTCCAAGAGTATGTTACAGAAGAGGACAAGCCTGAGGAAGAGGAAGAAAAACAAGAGGTCAGAAAAAAATTGTTTAATTTTTTCCTCCTACTACTTTGTATCTGAGTTTGAGAGGCCGTAAAATGAAAGACGTATTTCTAATAAGGTATCTTTCAAGTATCCCTAATACTTTTTCCAAATTGAAATCGTCCCATTAAATAGGAGGAACAAAGAAACATAATTTTAGCTGAAGATGGTCAGTCTTCTATTATGCCTGAGAATGAAGGGGCTAAAATGAAAAGAGAGTAGCTGGACAATACAGTAAATGGTCAAAAGAAGGCTATGAGAAAGCCAAACTCTAAACACATGCATTCTACTGCTATTAAATAGTGAAAATTATAAAATTACAAAAGCGGGTTGAAGTTTACCAATCCTTGTCAGAAAGAATAAAACAGGGATAAGATTCAGAATGATTCTTAATTTTGGCCCAATTCTCAGGCTGGTCATTAAACTAGGACTACCTATAGTGCAAACCCAGCCATTGTAACTTATAAATAATTGTATATATCTTAGAGTGATACATATATCCAAGTATTTTACCTTGATAAAACTTGGACTTTTTAGAAATAAAAATCAAGTTTGATAGGAGAGACTATTGAGAGAAATGGCATAGTATGGAAAATATAACTGGCTCTGCAATATACATGTGAAAATGGTTGTGGATCTAGCAGCATATATTTGAAAATAAGAAAGGAACAGGAAAATGAATGTGATTTTAGATTGCATTGATAGGAACATGGCTTTCTTAAAAATGTACTGATGAAATATAACAGAAAAGTAATACAAAGGTTTTAAATTAAAATATTGATTAAAATGAACTCAAAACTATGTGTTATTTATATAACACTCATTCCTATAGCATATAATTAAATGTAGCAACACTCCATCTTCTATTAGAATATTTTCTAAACTCATTTAAAAATTGATGAATAATACAACTCTTGAGTCTTGAAGCTACTCTTCAACATCAAAGAGTGTCATTCCCCCACCTCCACCTACATATCTATGTATTTGTTGAACTCTTGCTTTGATAAAGCCAAAGTTCTTCATATAATTTGATAAAAGAAGTGCTTTGAATGTTGCACAAAGACAACAGACATTTTTGCTGTTACTTAGAAAATATTCCCTTTCCAGGGTTCTGTGCTAGCTTGGAAAAATGTGGCTGGGTTGTTTTAAATGTGTTTGTGACACAGATTTTGTGCTCATGCACGTTCCAAACCATTTTCCTGATGCTTAGCCCTACTGGGAATAGCTGAACATTGAAGCCATTAGTGCAGGGGAATCAGAGGTTTACATCTTCCCCCCAAATCTTCAAACCCTGCATATAAGTTGCTGCCACAGATACTTCAGATTTAATTTTCCAAGAAAGCAACTAGACTAGAAAACTTACAAGACTTCCTCCAACTTCATACTAGATCAGATAATAGTCTAAACTGACTTTTCTAAAATCCAGGATTTTTTAACTAAATCAAAAGTGGCTGCAACTACAAGAAAAGATGAGCTATAAACCATGTATATACAAAGCCACAGAACTCGCTTCACATTTGTCAAATTTAACTACATGCTGATTTCCCATGACACACTATATGCTGAGGTGGGTTCCCCTTAGCATGTTGTTGCTTTGTTGTGTTGACTGAGAAGAGAGGAATTGATTGCATTTGAGTAATTGCTCCCCTTCTATGCATTTCTTCAGGACAACAAAAGGCAATATGAGCAAGAAGTCCGAGAAAAACGACAGAGGACCCCAAGTACTTCCAGTCAGGAAGACGAGTGTCAAACTCCTTTAAGCCCAACATTAAAGGTATATGTTGAGTTGCCTAGAAAGGCATTGGAAATGCTGACTAACAGATCAGTTTATAATTACAAGGCCAAAGCTTTATAGAAGTGATCAAAGTAGAGGAAAACCCCAATTTTTTTTCTATTAGCCTCCAGTCAAGCTCAACAAGGTTTGTCATTTCAGGACTTTTTGAATGGTAGCTGAGAAGGGAGTTTCAAGAGTTTTAAAGGATGGAATAAGTACTTTAAGAATATCTGTTTTCCTCTCAAATCCCTGACAGCATAAGAAAGGGAGCAAAACCTTGGCCGTACCCATTCTTCTTTTTTGGAAAGGAGGTTGGCACCAACCACAACTTTGTATCTTTCCTTGAGACCACTGTCCAAACGAAGCCTGTTGTTTCTGTTTTTTAGATCACTGACAGAACTGAATCTTTCAACCGATCTGTGCAGAAAAGGTAACTTCTGATGAAATAATGAATGTTCCAAGTCATGTGACCTTTCAGGAGCTGTCTCTTAAGTAATTTTATTTGTACACTGTTTTTCTGGATACAATCTTCCCAAGTAACTAAAGACAGAGGTAAAACATATATAACAACATGAGGCCCAGTTCAGCAGAAACTTTTAAAATGTCACTTCAAATGCCAAATACAGGGTACAAGCCTGTGGATAACATTTAGAAGAAAGCTCAAGAGTTATGATGCCACCTATTGAAAGAGCTTTGCTGTGAGCTCTGCAAATCATTCGAGACTGATGCCTTGGTTCATGATCATTGTGTGTCTGAAAAATCATTTTTTAATGTGTTGAACTGCAGAAAATACTTCCTGTTAAGGCAATTTCTCCATCTCTCCGGTATTCTATTATGCATTCCTTCTAGGCAGTCAGAATTTATCAAGCAGGTTAAAATATTCATTGAATTTACGGATTCCTAATCAGGGTTTGGTCAACAAATCACTCTGAATTCTTGCTGTCACTTGTTCTTCTTGTGTATGTTTATATAACTTACCAAGCTGCGGTTTGCTTAACTAAAGGCTACTAAAAAAACTCCATTTGATACAGATAACCATGAATCATGGTTTACAAATAATCCTGACTGGGTTCATACAAAAACTAAGCCATAAATAAGTAAATTACCTTCCCATTTAGTGTACTATGTGATCTATGCAAATTGTGGAAATCACTGATCGTAATTCTGAATAAATGGTAATTAGGCTCTGAAATGTTGGGTCTATGGTAAGCATCCTTTCTATCTTCTTCTCTCCTTCCAGTAACAGTATGAAGAAGACCCAAGCACCACTTCCAGTTTCCAAGATTGATGATAAACTTGAGCAATACACTCAAGCCATTGAGGTGAGCTTAAAATCACTGATTTTGACAAGCTTTTCAAAGAGGTACTTTTGGAGTCTTCTTAAGAAGTGTGTCATAGCAAGCCCATTCAAAAGCCTAATTCCATTAATTTTCATTCCTTGGCAAGTTAACTGAGCACTACTGTCACCCATGCAAGATTTTAGCTTTTGATGTGTGTCTGCAGATGTCCTCCTTTTTGTGGCAGCCAAAAAGTAGAGTTGTATTAAAAAAATTTGTTTGGCAATTAATTCCCAATAGGCTTAAATCCAACTTCTTCTGGTGCTCTTGTTTATGGATGCTGAACCTGGCTGATGGCATTCTCCTTTCTCTTATCTGATGTAACTGATTTATGACTATGAGATGAAGGCAATGTGTGTGCCACAGGTGTCTGAGCTTTTTTGCATTGTTTTTCTCTGCATGACCATAGATGGGAGATTAGAGCCATGCAGGGGTGGGATTCAAATTTTTTAACAACTGGTTCTGTGGGCGTGGCTTAATTGGTGGGCGTGGCTTGGTGGTCGTATGACTGGGTGGATGTAGCTTGTGGTCATGTGACTGGCTGGGCGTGGCCCACTCAATATCACTCACATCAAGGCACGCATCTCCTCGCCTGGCCTCTTATGACTGTGGGGATGCTGCAACAGTTGTAAGTGTGAAAAATGGCCATAAGTCACTTTTTTCAGTGCCATTGTAACTTTAAATGGTCACTCCACATGACCAAAGTACCAGCAAAGGAGGGGGGAAAAACTCCAGAGAAGTTCCTGAGATAGGAAGTCTAGTCCTGCAAAGAATGTAATAAGGGTTAACGGAGAGGCAGTTTCTGTAAGCAACACCAGAATGTTTCCTTCCTGCCTTCCTTACAGGATTAGGCCAGGATTTCTTCTAACAACCGGTTCTCCGAATTGCTTAGAATGTCAACAACCGGTTCTAGCAAATAGGTGCGAACTGGTAGAATCCCACCCCTGGAGCCATGGTGGTGCAGAAGTTAGAATGTAGTATTGCAGGTTACACTTCCCACAGCGGAGTTCGATTCTGACCAGCTCAAGGTTACCTCAGCCTTCCATCCTTTCCAGATCGATAAAATGAGAACCCAGATTGTTGGGGGGAAATATGCTGGCATTGTAAACTACCCAGTGAGGGATGTAAAGCACCATGGGGTGGCATATAAGTCTCAGCACTATTGCTATTATATTGGCACAAAGGCTATACAGGAGAGGACATTTTCTGATCAGTTGCTGAATTGGATAGCTGCCATAATGCCGATTCTGCCTAATAGGAACATCAGCTCATTGGTTCATAAAGATGTTTGACTATAAGAGAGAGGTTGTTTTAAACTAGAAAGCCAGTTCACCCTTATATTATTTTGCAGTTCTCCAGCAAAACTCCAAAGCCAGCGCGCCAAGCTTCTATTGATCTTCCTACCAATAGTGCTGCAGTGGCCAGCACAAAAAGCCTCTGGGAGACTGGGGAAGTCACCCAGTCTACAAAATCACTGCCCTGTAAGGTAACTTCTTTTTTAAAAAAATGTGGTCAAATCCCTATTATTGGATTTCTTCTACAGATACTGATCTTGTGATGAAAATGTCAGGGTATAAATGTCACCAACCAAATAGTACCAATATAGACTCTAGATTTGACTTCAGCTGCAAAACGTAAGACTTTTGTTCATAGAGGGCACTTCAAACATCTCTCATCATGTCTGTGTTCTTCCTAGGACATTGTGGCTGGAGACATTGTGAACATAAGAAGCCTTTGGGAGCAAAAGGAGAGCCCCCAAACAGATGCAAATGCTAAGGTGAGGATTGTTGCTTCCTTTGGGAGAAATGCAATGATGAAGCTTAATTTTTCTGTATAAGTGGCCAAGTGTGTTAGGCCTGATGAGGCTTTGCTGGAAGATGGTCCAGAAGTGATCCAAATGAAACATCACAGCAGCTTTGTTTCACCCTTCCTAATGTAGCTACTTCACGTAAAGCGTTGTCAAATTAAAGCACCCTTCAAGGACTTCTATAGCCATCCTGTGACTATTAAAAGGAAGGTTTTTTTTCATTATTGTGTCTGTATACAGTTGGATCTTCCTCAGCTCATTGAATGCAAGCTCTTCTGTTCGTGATATGAAAGGAAAATGGTTCCACTATATCAAGTGAAATATGTATTCAATTCAGTGTTTTATTTTGCCAGAAGCATAGGAGCTGCCTGAGGAAGCCCACAACCAGGTCAGGAGTGTGATAGCATCTTCCTGCTTGCACTTCCCAACAAATGACATATAGAGGCATATTGCTTCTACCTATGGAGCTAAAAACAAATGTTTACATTGATTAATCCTGGGTCACATATTCCTGCCCAGTTCCTCCACACAAATCAGAATTCTATGGTCTTGATCGCCATCATCTTTTTGGATGGTGTGAATGCCTCCATCCAAAAAGGGGATGGAAAGGAGTTGAACAGAGAGAAGGAAAATTTGCAAAAATATTTTTTGGGGTGAGGGGAAATGTATGCAACTGCATATCTTACATAAATAATTCTGAATGACTAACAACCAGTTCATAAGAAAAACAATGCAATATAAAAAATAAGTATCATTTAAAGCAGTATCCTCAAACTTTCTGGCCCCTGGACGATGGTGGCCGGAGAAGGAGGGGGAGGGGATGGTTTCTCATGATTGGCTCCCACTTTCAGGGCTTGTTTCCCAGTGGGGTGCAGACTGGTACCCATCCGTGGACCGGGAATTGGGGACCTCTGATAAAAAGTTGTAGGAGCTTCTGGAATAACTATTCAGCAGATTTTCTTGTTAACTTTTGAGCTATCTTTCTGCAGAGGTTTGAGGTGATTTTGTTTTTTTGGCAGAGGTTCAGGTTTTCCTGGTATCGAATAATGAACTGTAGTTTAAGCTTCCAGGCCAAAGAAAAAGGAACAGAAGCACTGTGCATTTAATCAGCTCATATTTGGTAGCTAACAGTCAAACGGGGGGTTTTCAAAGCACTTCAAAAAGGGTGGAAGAGTAGTAAGGATTTGGTTTTAACCACTGAAATTGCAATTTTTCAACCTCATTTTTAGGTCAAGATTCCTGGCAAGAAATATAAGTATGTGGCAGTTGGACATGGACAGTACAAAAGGGTGCCAATAGAAGATGATGGCGTGACGGAAAAATAGCTGTGCTGGTACCAAACTCACAGGTAAAGGTAGGCTGATGTATTAAATAGCATTTGCAAATTCTTTTTGCACATATAAAATTGATAATATTCACCAAGTGCTGACTGGCTTTGCTATCTGACTTCTACAAGCAGAAGCAGAAAGTGCTCCTTTATAAAGTGATTCTTTGTCATGTTCCTCCCTTACTAAGATAATTGACAATTCAAACATGGACCTTTATTGGTACATGTCACATTTTAAGCTCAAAGGAATGGATTTGGAGTATTTAAGGAATGATTTAGGTGGTGTATCTTAAGGGATGTATGAAGGGGAGCATGCCTTTACTTAAGAGTAACATTTCTCAATTCTCTACTAGTAATGAGAATCCATTTTTTATAGAAACATTTTATTCAATCTACATATTCAGTGTTTATAAAAATAGTTCTTGCGTCAGGATTTCATATGAACTGCCTTTAAAACATGTGGGTCTATACTGTGAAAAGAATTATTTCAATGTTGGTGTAATGACAAGCATCACCTTTTCATAAGTTCAGAAAAAGCCCAGAGCATCTTTTGCTTCCATCATCTCTCTCTGTTCCTTTTCTTACTGTATATCTGTTTCTCTTAGGAACCAAACATTTCTATTTCCTCATTGCTCAGCATACCTTCTGCATCTTATATTATCATCTCAAAACATGGCACTTACTCTACCAGACATTTGAAACCTTAGTGTGGTTTGTTTACTCTTTCTTTACTTAGAATTCTCTCCCGACCTAACTAAGTTTGGCTAAAAAACCATGTCTGAAGATGTCTGAAACTGAACTTGGCTTTTATAACCATTTAAAAGAATAAGGCAGCTTAATCAATCCAGGACATCTTTATCTTCTACTATATTGCCCTTAAAGTTAGGACAAAAGACCTTAACGTTACTTTGCTTTACTTGCCTGACCTTTATGCAATATAGTATGGGATATCCTTAGATTCTTACCTATGCGTAAATTTTAAGACACTGTTAATATAAATAATGAGTAGAGCACGTCAATTAAAAGTAAACACAAACATATCAGTTGACTCAGTTTGGTAAATGGTTGGTAGGAAACCAGTTTTCCTGCCTGCTGCAAAATTCAACATTTTGATTCTTAGCTCTGAGGTACCGCTAAAGGTATATATAGGAAAGTGGCTAGGAAGTTCTGGTGTTCCATATTTTTGCACTAAAGGACATTGAGCTCCATATCTTACATGCCCATTTGAGATTTCTTGAAGCAACAGGCACAAAAATCTGCTTCCCAATGATCTGATCAAAAGCTATGATCTACTACTGCATGGCATATGATGAAAGTGTAAATACTGGAATAACCGAAAAGAACTCAGGGATTCTCTTCTATCCCTTCTGTGTTGGTGTTTTTGGAATTGTATATTTGTTCTCATTCTTCTGGCAATTCTTCTTAAAAAAAAAAAACAGATCATGGGGTGATGATAGTCCCCTGTTCTATGATATAAAATAGAGGACTTGCAAAAGAACTATAGTAGCCTAAAAATCTGCTATGCACATCACACTTTTCAAAGTATCAATGCTGGAGTAAAAACTAGGCATACAGCTACCAGTATATATAACGAAACTCAACTCATACTCTTTCTAGACAACCTGAACATGAAGGATGTATGCCTTTTTCACAGTCTGGAAGAATTGAGTGGCACTCTTCCTTATCCACAACATTGTGGAATGGGATGGTTGAGCATTCATTGAGGTGGTTAAACAAGTGAGACATAAGAGATTAACTGTACAGTCTCTCAGGCAGATGCTATTTTAACCAGCTTCCATTTCTTAGTTCAAGCCATCCATTCTCAATTTGTGATTGTGTAGAGAAATAGAGATGTGAGATTAGGTTATACATGGAGAAAACAATAGCTGGAACATTTTTATTCTTATTATAAATCACTGTGTAGCATATGCATACACAATTTGGCTTTATGAGGGAATAGTGTCAAGGACTCCTAAATTCACCTTGAGTCTAGTTTGATAGTCAAGACCTTATCTGGATTTTGGAAGATAGGCTTTTCCCTAAATCTTCCCAATTTTGCTTTTGATAGCTGATACTCATGATTTGCAACTACCAATGGGAAATGGCCAAAGATCTATGCTACTAATCCCCAATCTACCCAATTTGATAAGGTATAAAATACCAAGTCCATGGCTATTTCTCTGCTACATCAGTAGCCATTGGCTACTTCATTTTGCAGTTATTTTAGCATTTGCCAGCTTGGCGATAGCATGTCTATAATTAAAATGCCAGCTTAGCGATAGCAAGTTTGTACTATCTTTCCATGAAACAGTGATATGAATGTTTGACTTTTTTGCATTCTTGTAGTATCTCAGTGGAAAACATTATAGATGGCTTAGCTTAAAAGCAGTATTCTTTTATGAGTCCCTGGCTAGTGATGGTGGAAAAAATGATAATAGTCCTTTTTTTCCAGGCTCCCTCCATGAGTCAATTTTCTGGAGCTGATTGCTTCACGTATTGGCAATTGCCTGACATTTAAAAGCTAGGTTCAGTCTGGTAAATTGATATTTGCACAGGATTTTCACTTTTTTTTATATGCAAATTTGGTCTGCAGCTGCTTTCTAGGGGAAAATAGCCTTGACAGGGTCATGCTATATTTTGCAAGTGGTTTAAATGGATTTCATTGCAGTTATGCACAGAATTGTCCAGATTCCACAATTCATGCTTCTGTTGAGGTGAGCCCAAGAAAAAATATTGTCCTGACCCTTGTGCAATCAACACCGCTTGCCCTTTTTCTCAATTCAATATTTATTTTGGGATTCTGCAAATGGCCTGGCTATCAGAGTACCTCTAGGAAAACCTCTCTTTATTAACATATTTATTCATCTGGCAAAGGCTCTATTCTAGGAAGGTGCATCTATGAGTTACAAAAGAGCAGGATTCTTTTGATGGAAAAACTGAAATTTTGTCTCTAATGAAGCCTGCAAGACAACTATGGTCATGTGAGCTATGCCAAACAGCTTAATCTTTTTAATGTCATATTTTTAGGATCTGAAGCCATCTTGAACCTTGATTTCAAATTGCAATTTTGTGTGCATTGTTAGTATTACAATTTAGATTTAGGCTGTGTATGAGAAACATTCATTTTTTCTGCCAGAAACATGAAAGTAGCTTGTGAAAACAACCATTGCTCCTACTATAATCCTACTCAATTTGTCCTCTAACCAAATGGCCTAAACCTCTGGACAGCATTTGACCTCAAAGGGGGATGGGGCGAGAGACTCTGAACATGTGTGTACCATGATACAGGATGATTGTTTGGCTCTATTCAAAATGCTTTTGACTGGATATGGAAGAAAAACCAAGAACTTTGGCATTATTTTAGAATAAAAGGTAGGCTTGGTGGAGCAAGCCCATTTCTGTCCCATGTTATATTTATTTCAGAAGATGTTTTAACTTCTTTCTTTTATATAGGCTGTTATTCTAAAAAACACGACTCTCTCTCTCTTCTCAAGCCCCATGTTAAAACTGAGTAAAACAGGTCCCAAAGGTGCTGTTTTCAAGAGACAACAGGGCTTTCTGGTTTGTCTTTGAAGATGTTTCACTTCTCATCCAAGAAGCTGTTTCGGCTCTTCAAAGAAAAACCAGAAAGTCCAGTTGCCTCTTGAAAAAAGCACCTTTGGGACAACCATGACCTGGATGATTGAGAATCTCCATAGACATTGAGTAAAACAGGCATATTCATCTTTTTGTAACCCTATATGAAGGACAGTAACCCTGTATGAAGGATTTTATTTTATTTTTCCCCTCTCAATTGCTGCTTTAGTAAAATCTGGATTTATTTCAGATTCTCTCAGCCCACTGATCATCTTCTCAAGGAAACATCTATTCCTCTCTTTCCTTCACCTGCCACCTAGATGCCATCCTATTAAATCCCATCTGTGTTTCTTCAGGTGGTTGGCGTTGGATGCGACGCACATCAAACAGAGTAGTGATCTTTGTCATGGGTTTGGAAGCCAGCTCTTTAAGTTTCCGGGCGTCAAAGCGTGGCCTGTGGAGAAGCAGGGGTAGACGTCGCCGGAATGAAAACATTCCCTCTTTTCTTATTTCCTTTTCTTCCTCAGCTTGTGGCTTTTTGTCCTTGCTGATTGTCATCTGGTACAAGATGGCATCCCACATCTTGATGGCTTTTGACTTGGTTCCTTTTTTCTCCTGACCTGGATCCACTTCCGAGATTTCAGCTATTGCCTTTTCTCTCCCTTGCTCTGGCTCAGGTTCTGACACTGGGAACTGAGGATCGTCAGATTCCACTACTAAGTGTTTTTTGAGACGGGACCAGCCACTAAGTTTGCTTTTGGGGGGCACTGCTGGCTTTGATTTGGGTGACGAGCTGGCAGGACTTTGGGAGATAGATGGTGGCGGTGGTGGTGATACAGCCTGCTGGTTTGTCTTTCCTGGCAAGAACTCCTGCTTACTGACAGTGGATGGTGCAGGAAGGATAGTTTCTGGCTCCATGTACTGTGATGTGTTGGAGCCTGACTGTCTCTGAACTTCAGTATGTGTTTCGGGGCTTTTGCTGCTTCTTGGAGTTACAGGCCTGACCAGCTGATGAGTTGGGGATGTAATCACGGTGTACTGCCTAGGGACATGGAGTATTTCAGCTTTCATTTTCCTGGTGGGTGGTTCAGGGGTTGCAGAAACAACTAACCTGGGGGTAAGTGACCTGGGATGCTGTACGAAAGATGTGTCATATGTCTGGCTTGATAGTGAAGCTGCATAGTTGGTTTGCAAATGAACATGGCTTGAATATTCCTCTGGCTGTCCTATTAGTGGAGACTTAACCCTTGGTGCTTGCACGCTATGAAAAGAGGAATGCGTTTCAGCCACATAATTGACCCTGACTGGACTCTCCACTCGAGGAGTGGAGGAAATGGGATGTTCATTAGAAACAAAGGCAGGGGACAAGGGAGTAGGGGGACCTGAAGAGAACTCTGTGGTTTGCCTTGGTGACTCGGGAGTTGTCGGTCTGTAATGCGGAGATATGGCAG